GGACTGGAGCCTGTTTTAGGAGTGATGAAAATATTTTGGGACAAGACAGAGGTGGCGTTTGCACAACACTGTCAATGTACTAAATGCCACTGGATTGTACTCTCAAAAGGTTAATGTTATGTGAGTTTTACCTCAATAAATAAAAAATAAATGGATGAAACATGTCCCCCCCCCCCCGAAATCCACAAGGACAGGAGGTGGGGGGGGCTGCAGAGCAGAGAGAAGCAAGTGGCTTGGGGAGACCCGGCCGACAGGGCCTGGCCCGTCAGCCAGGGTTACACGCAGGGACACGGCTAATGATGTTCAGATATGGGGGGTTCAGAGCCTTCGAGAGCAGAATCGCTGCAATTCAGATCTCCGCGCCCCTCCCCTCTCTTCTCTCCAAAGGAGAGAGCGCGGAGCTGCGGTTTGGCAGCCCCGCTGCCTGGAGACAGCACCTGCAGATCGGGTTTCTCTGCAGGAATCCGGAACGTGTGGCTGCATGGCTGTGCCCGCCCAGCTGTGGCCTGGGGAGGGGCGACCGGCACTCGCTCCAGCCCTGCGGGGGGCGGGGGGAGGAGGACGTGGGAGATCACCCCTCAAAATGCTCCCGACTCTGGGAACGGGGCGGGATGAGGCGAGAGGGACACGCTTGAATTCCTAGGTCGCTGCGTCCTCCACCTCGCAGAGCAGGCTGACATCCCAAGGCTGCTCCAAGTGGCAGAGGCTCTGCTCTGATACCAGGAAGTCGTCCCGGCCACCCGGGTCCCGCTTGCTCCCCTGCCGATGACGTCAGGGCCTGCTGCCACTAGGATGCCACACGACAGCCAGCGCTTCTGCCCCCGGCCAGGAGGACCCAGGCTCGTGCATAGTCAAACCGGACCTGTTGCCACATGAAAACCTCTTCCAAGGGGTCGGGTTTCTGCATCGCCGCGAGGATTACCACTCACGGACCTGGAGCAACCCAGGTGGCGCATGCCAGGTGCCTCCGCTTCCCACAGATCCGTTTCTGGCCAGCCTCGCTCACGTGACACGTGGGAAGTTGGCCAGCAGGGCCGTGCTCAGGCCCGAGCTCCGACCGCTTGCTCACCCATCCCGCCAGAACCTGCTATGCCCCTAGGACGGGCTACATGGCCTCTCAACACCGTCCTTCGTTTCTTAGTCCCCGAGTGCCCCAACAAGGTTGACAGTTCAAAAACGTAGGCTACACAGGGTCAGTGTCCAGTCTAGGGGAATAGGGTTCCCACCAAACCGCCAGCAAACATCTTCCCTAAGCGGAAACCGGCCAGAGCTAACAGAACAGACGAGATGTCGCCGGCATAAGTGACCCACCCCAGGAGGTGGTCTGCAAACGCTTAGCTGCAAACGAACACGTGGAAAACACCCAATCCAAATGACGTGCCTCAGGGGCGGAACTGATTTCAAAACTACTTATTAGGCACCTACTACATACACAGAACAGGTGGAACTTGCTGCCCACATGGAGCTTACAGTTTAGTGGGGACAGACAGAAAGCACAGAATCCTTGGAACAAACGACACAAGCTGCAAGGAGAGGGGCCTCCATCGGTGGTGCTCGCTGTGGTGGCCGTAATGCCCAGAACAGTGGGTGGTACATAGTAGGTGCCCAATAAACAAGTGATGAATGAATGAATGTCTAATATCAATGTCAAAGGAAGATGAATGAGAGTAGTGAGGACGGAGCAAGTGATGGGGGCTGGGGGGGGAGGTTGGCTGCCCTGATACAGCAGTGTGTGGACGCAGGTGGGACTGCAGCAGAGAGGCCGTGTGGCAGGAGGGAGGGGCCACGGGAGAAGACAGGTGGGTGACAGGCAGAGGGCAGGGCACGCCAGGCCCAGTGGGCACACAGGACTTTGGGTTTTGTGTTCAGCGTGAGCAGGAGTCACGGAGGGCTGTGGGCAGGCAGAGGACACAGCCTGGGGTCCTGTCTACAGACTCTCCCCAGCTGCCGTGCTGGGAAGGGCTGTGGCAGCCCGAGGGGAAGCAGGAGACCAGCCAGGGAGGAGCGAGGATGCAGCCTGGACTGGGGGAAGCAGAAGCAGCAGGACCCAGAACGTAGCCGGAACTGGCTGTCACCCAATCGGTGATGTCGCCACTGGCCTAAGGAAAGTGCTGCTTCGGCAAGGTGTGGTGAGCAGGGCTTGGTAAGGACCCCGGAAGATGGCGGCCATGGACGCAGGGCCTCCAGTTCTTGTTAGGTGCACCCTCGTGGTGGCAACAGAGACACTGGGCTCGAGGCAAGAGTCACTATCGCCACTTGGCTTCCCCGAGCTCTGGTTCTGCACCCGCCATCTGCCACCTTCAGAGGTGAACACAAATCTCTAGCACACCTGACTCTTCTAGTCCTTACCGTATATGAACAGATTTCCTCAGGTTTTTACATCAGTCTCTTGTGAGTTTGGTAGTTACCTCTAAACCACATCGACATGGAATACACTGGGGAAAAAACATCCAGTTTCTGAACCCACAAAGTGTGGGTGGGCCCAAGGACCCAGACTACCTTTTTGGGATCCTCATGTGAGTAGCCCCTGCTGCCTCTATCCAAGACTTCTTAGAACTGAAACAGGGTCAATGAAGGGAGACCCATTACCAAGTACCTACAAAGGTGGAAAAGACACGTGCAGTCTGGAGTTGGGCTGCCTGGGCTTAAACTTCAGCTCTATAAGCTGGGTGACCTTGAGCAAGTTTCCTAACCTCTCTGAGCCTCACAGCTCCTCACCCATTGAAATGCCAGTGATGATCGTTCAGCCTCACGGGTGCCCTTTAGGGGTTAAACGAGGATCCCAAGGAAAGCTTACCACTTAATAAACAGCCCTCACTGGTGACATACTTGCAATTTAGTGGTGTGAGGGGAAAGGAGGAAGGAAAGAGGGAGGGAAGGAAGGGTCGGTTTTGTGAGAAGCGGGGTATCTGGTTGTCCCCCAGAGGTGGAATGCGGCCACCCAGTGCTGTGGCCACCTCCCAAGCTCATTGATGGCAACAGAGAGGCCCTTTTCCGGAAGCCTCAGGTGCTGCTGAAGCCAAGGCTGCCCACGCCTGGCAGTGGCTTGGCCTGTCTCTTTCAACTGTGCCTTGGCGCCTCCCCAGCAGTGCGCCCCTGGGGAGGGGTGGCCGCTGTGGGGCGGGGGGTCTGCAGCGTCCTGGTGGGGAGGGGGGTGTGGCCCCGTCTGCTCTCTGGGGCCGGGTGGCGGGACCTGGGCATGTGGGAAGTTTCTCAGGAAAGCAACTTGGATCTGGGGTGACTCTGTTCCCTTTGTCACGTTCTGAGAACACAAAAGGGAAAAAGGGGAAGTGAAGAAAAGGGAAATTGGCTCAATATCCATTCAATGGCTGGGCCGGGAGGGCAATGGGCCGAGGGAGGAAGGAACAGGAACGAGGGCACTTGCTCGTCCCGGCAAAGTCAGCCGGGGCTGGAAACGCACGCGCGCCCAGGACGGGCCACCCACGCTAGACCCTGCGCCCCCGCGCCCCGGTACGCGAGGACTGCACATGTGCACTCTGCGTGCCCGCCGTGGGCAGGCGCTCTGCGGTGTCGCACGGGCCGCGTTCAGAACGGTGTTTCCTCCCCACGCCCGACTGTCCGTGAAATGAAAACAACGGCATGCTACCTGCGCAGCGGGAGGGCGAGCAGAGGAGGATGTGGGTGGCGGCCCTGGGTGGCGAGGAAGGCCTGCCACATCCCAGCGAGGGCGGCTCAGACCACAGCCCCGGGAGTGGGGACCCTCCCGCCCCCACGTGCTGCCACCGCCCGCCAGGCAGCTGGCTTCCACAGCTGGAGCGGCCCGCAGGCCCTCGCTGCCGAGCACGCTGAGTATTTCTAAGGCTGTCCCAAGTTTCCGTTCCCATATCAAAAGTGCCTCTTTTCTGCTGAGGCAGCAAGACCTGCCAACAAAACAAGCCGCTGGGACCCACGTTTCTGTAACACAACGCCTTGCCTGAGACGCACAACAATGAATCACGGAGGTTTAATAGTATCGGCAGCTGGGCTGGTGGCAGGAATCCGTGTGAAAGTCGGACCGCAGAGCTCAGGCCGTCCCCGTACACCAGTGGCCCCGGTCCCCCCCGCCACCCCACCTCTTGACAGCAACCCCGCTCCAGGCCCCCAAATGGAAAACCAGACAGCAGGGAGGACCTGCACGTCTGTCTCCTTCCTCGAGAACAGTCCCTTTAGGGGCGAGGGAGCCGTTCGCCCTGCGTGCCTTGCACCTGGGGACAGCCAGGGCAGCCTGCTCGTACCTGCATCACCTGGGGGCCCATTGGAAATGCAGAGTCTCAGGCCCCACCCGGCCTGCTGCCTGCGATGGCGCTGGCACTAGATCCCCAGGCGACCTGAGCGCCCAAGTGGGAGGGGGATGCAGGGGGTCCTCCCCCAGGCGGGAGGCTTGGAGGACGAACATGTTGGAAAGAAGGAAGACGGGGGGGGGGGGGGGGTTCCATCTCTCTCCGGGAGGCCAGTCCCGAACCACAACTGACTTCAACCAACCAGATGTAGAGGCCACTGGTGTAACAGAAGTAGAGGCAGTGTCCCCTGTCATAGGACAGGCTGCTGTCCTGCTGCCAGACCCTCAGGAGGTGGGCAGTGGGGCACATGAGCCAGCTGTCGGCTCCCTCGCAGGCCTGCCAGAAGCCCAAGGGCCTTCGGGGTCTGGGAAGACGAAGGACACGCCCTCCTATTCCAAGGCCCCTCCTCTGCTCACAGCTCCTCTCGGGCTCCGCACCCTCCACCCGCCTCCCTCCACCCTCCATGCCCCGGCGAGCCCTCCTGGCTTCCTGGACTTCTCCGAGTATCCCTTTAGATACTCCGTTGCCACGCCGGCCCTGCCAGGAACTATGAGCCACCACACCTGTTACAGTGACGCTCTTTACACTTCAAACAACCCCCCGACAGGAAGCCTGTCTGTCCAGGCCCCCTCCGCCACGAAGCCCTCCCTGGTTGGTCTCCGCAGCCGTGGCTATCTCAGGACACATCTCCTTCTGCTCCACACCGCCCCCCACAGTTACCTCGGGACCCTGGGTCCTGCTTCAACTTGGAGCAGCGTCCCTCATGGCAGAGTCCTGGCTGAAGTCCATGCCCTGCCTGAGTCCCACCCACAGGTGGCTGGGCAGCCAGTGTCCTCACGGTCTCCCCGACACCTACCAGGATCTGGAGTTCTGGAATGTTCCAGGCAAGTGCCTGGGGAGAGAGCCAGGAGAAGAGCCCCTCGGGTCCTCACCACGGGGGGAGAATTGCGGGAGAGTGAGGGCTGCACCCCGGCGCCCCGGCAGCGGTGCCTTCCCCGCCGGGTCCCCCAGGCCTGCCTTGCCCGGGCGGGATTGGCCTTGGCCCGCACGAGCTCCGCCGTCACCAAGGGGAAGCGGCCCTTGGTTACCACTGGCCGGGAGAACACAGAAGGCAAAACAAACACTGGACGCCGCTCCCGGGTCCGGACTCGCTCCCCACGGCTGGAAACAATTACAAGGTGATCAGCCGGGTTTTAAAAGCCCTCCAGAGTGGAGGCTGTGGGCCCAAGGGTAGACTCGTCCCTAACTCGCCCCCTCCCTGCTGCTGCACCCTCCCCGACACCTGCAGACCCTCCCTCGTCCCATGCAGGGAAGCAGAGCCAAGCGAGGCGGGAACCCAGGGGAACCGAGGCAGAGGCACCGTCCACGACTCAGAGCCATGAAGTCAAGTTTTCAAAATTGCAAAGGGGCCAGGCTGGCAGGTGCAGAGGTGACACCCTCCCCAGCGGGGCCCATGGGGGCAGACTCGACGACAGCTCTGTTCCCTGTTCCCTGTTCCCTTAGCCCCTTCCCAGACCCTCCTCCAGCTGTGACCAACTCTCTAGTCCCCCAGCAACTTGTCCTGAAAGGAAATGAAACTCACCAACAAGGGGGAGAACCTCCCCCTCCCAGGCTCTGGCCTGGGTTGGCAGGAGAGAGGCCCAGTCAGCACCTGGCCCTGCCACCCACCCCCCTCGGTGCTGTCCTGAGGGGCACGGCGTGGGCACTGACCCCCAACTACCTCCTGTCACAGCACACCTGGAACCGCTAGAGAGTCACACACCTCCTCCCCAGGGACAGAGTCTGCCCGTGCAGGGGTGTCCCAAAGAGAGCTCCCAGTACCTGGGCAGCGTCCCAGGTCCCCATGAGCAGATGCTGGGGGCAAACCTGAGTGGAATGGGGGTGGGGAAGAGCCGAGTGACAATCCCCCACCCCACCCCCACTCCAGGTCTGGCCCCTGGCAGGGAGACGTGTTGCCCCACCTGAGCCCTCCTGTCTTCCAGGCACGGATTCAAGCCATTGAAGCCACAGGGGCTCTTCCCTGCACCCGACTGGGAAGGCAGGAGCATCCCCACGCACCCCTCGGCTACACACAGAAGGAGCCCCTGGGACACATGTCACCTCTTAACTTAGCCCTGCCCCCAAAGGCACACTTGGGCCAGTCTTCCCCAGCCTCAGTGGAGCCCTGCTGGTCTGGGCTAGCGGAGCCTGGCCCGGCTTCACCCACCTCCCAGGAGAGACACAGAGTCAGAGAGAAGGGGCAGGAGGCGAATGAATAAGAGGCGGGTGGGGGGGGGCCTGTCCCTACCAGCGGCTCTGCAGCCTGAACAGCTGTCAGCTCAGGGCCCAGGTGGCCGGAGTGTCACCATCAGGAGAGCAGCCTTTGGCTCTGAGTAGGAGCCACCCCACAGAGCTGCAGAGCTGGGGCCCTTCCCCAGCAAGGCCAGGGGCCCAGTGCTCATAAGAAGAGGGGAGAAGAGCTGGCAGAGGATTGGGGTGCAGGGCCAGGGGGGATCTTGGGGCATAGCACCCCATGCCCTCAAAGAGGGTTTCCTGTTCCCAAACCAGGGAGCTCTTACAGTCAAAACGAGTTAACCAGCTCACTGACCAGGCAGGCTGGTTGCTGGCCAGGTGCAAGGGGCCTGCCCTGGGCCATGCTTTCCAGGGTGGGGGAGGCAGCAGTGGTGCCACAGTGGCAGTGGCAGCTCCACTAGGCACAGGCCAGGGGGCCACTCGTCCTCCTGGGAGGTGGGGGGCAGGGCGAGGTCCACCCAGAGCAGTCCCCTTTGGAGGCGGAGGACCTCACTTCCCACCCTCCTGACTCAGCTGCAGTCCTTGCTCGTCTTAGAGGAACTCTGGGGCCCGTGCCTCCCCCCAACCCAGTCCTGGGGGCAGGGGAAGGCCCAGTTGCTGGAGTCAATACTATGGGTTACGGTCTCAGATCTCAACCTTGATATGCTGAGAATTTAAACAGAACATTTCTAGGACAACCAGACAGAAACTACCAGAAAGCCCCCTGCCCCACATTTAGCCCCCTGGCCATCTCTTCCCATGCCAGGACAAGCAGAACTGATGGAGAAGTTTGCTAGAAAGACAGAAGCATCCAAGGCCATAGTGCTGGAGAGAGCTAGAAACATGGTCTGCAGCCAGATGTCAAGCACCTTGAATGCCACCACAGGGAGTTGGGACCTGGCGCTGGGGAGCAGCCCCCCGATGGGGACCGGCCAGCACCAGATGGGGAGGCGGCACATCGGAAAGTTTCCTCCACAAGTTCATCCCTGGGTTTCCCGACAGAACCAGAAAGAACTAGAGATGGAGATGGAGAGCTCACGTCGTGGTCTGTGCACAGAGCAGTGGCAGCTTCGCCACCTAATGACAAGAGCAGTGAGGGGCAGGGGTTCCATGAACACAGCAACCGGTGCCTTTTTATTGTCCCCAAGTGAGGGACCCGCTGGAGGCAGCCTCGAGTCTCATCCTCACTAACCCAGCACTGGGGGCAGTGGCCTCCTGCTCCTGCCCGAGACACTTCCCTGAGTGCCGGGGCCGATTATCCTCCGCTCCTCTGTCTCTTGCTTTGGGGGAGGTCGGCAAAGGACCAGGCAGGAAGGATTGGAAATGTTCTTTTAGGTATACAGAAAATTTGAAATGAGCCAACAGCCCAAGAAGTGACACTTCAAACTAACAGCATGAGGCAGCGTTGCTCATTTTTCACCTGCAGAAGTGAGCAGAACAATACATGCTCACTCTGGAAGGCTGCAGAGAGGATCAGAGGGGACAATGAACACACACGCAGAGTCCAACAGCCCCCAGCATGTCACAGGTCCCCGAGCAATGCAGGGTGCTTCCCGGGCTCTCACGATGCGTGGGGCGCCTCTGAGCACATCAGACTTGGCCCGAGTTAATGCGTTAGGTGGTGGCTGTCATTATTACCATTCACATGACATCAAGCGGTCAAATCTTAACATCACCTTCCAGCCATTGACCAAAGAAGCACAATGTTCTTTGAGACAGAGTCTCGCTCTGTTGCCCAGGCTAGAGTGAGTGCTGTGGCTTCAGCCTAGCTCACAGCAACCTCAAACTCCTGGGCTCAAGCGATCCTGCTGCCTCAGCCTCCCGAGTAGCTGGGATTACGGATGTGCGCCACCACGCCCAGCTAATTTTTTTCTATTTTTAGTAGAGACGGGGTCTCACTCTTGCTCAGGCTGGTCTTGAACTTCTGACCTCAAACGATCCTCCCACCTCGGCCTCCCAGAGTGCTAGGATGACAGGTGTGAGCCACCGCGCCTGAATTGCACTCTTAAAAATGGTAAACTGTATGCCATGTATATTTGCCACGATAAAAGATACTTTGTTTTATATGAAAATAAAGGAAGAAAAACCTGAGGTATGGAAAAACTAAGTGATGAAAGACGAGTCTCTCTAGGCCGATGCCACCGAGACAAATGCTAAGAAATGCTAAGAGCAGCAGCGGGGCCTCCTGCCCATGGCCTGTTGGCCTCATTAAGCCACCAGCAAGGCCGTCTGCCCTTGATTGGGCTGCAGCGGAGATCCGCCTAGCAGAGGATAATGTCGCCGTTTGTTTGGCTAACGGCTCTGTGGGCCTCCTGGCCACCCTCCTTTCTTTTCTGCTGGCCCAGGAGCGAGGGCCGCGGTCTTCCCGGGCTGCTCCCGCGCCAGCAGTACGGTGTGCATGAGCCACTGCACGCTGCGGGGGCTTCACGGGGCTGACGGGGAGACAGCACTGGCAGGAAATTGAAGTGGACTTGAAAAGGAAGATAAATGCGGAAAAGACCAAGCCCCAAATGGCTAAGACGCTGGGACAGGTTGCTGTCCAGGAAATGACTCACGTCTCCACTGGTCCCTCGGGTCTGCTGGGAGCAGACACTGAATGGGGTAGACCGAGGTTCTCACCGAGGAAGGTGCTTTCTGGGGTTCTGGCCCTTTCCGCCGTGGACCGTGAACCCCGGGAGGCCGACTGCTGGACACCCGGGGATCGCTGGTGCCTGGCACGGCCCACGAGGGCAGGTGCTCGGCCCACACTTGCTGGTGAAGAGCGCTGACACCAAGTCTGAGTCACAGAGCCCAGGACGGGGCCCCGGGGGGGTGGGCGTCAATACAGCCCGAGGCTGGTGCCCTCTCCTGCCGCTGCCACCACACTTCCTGTGGCCTTTCTGTCACCCTCCACGCACTCCGGCTGCGGAGCCGGCAGCAGGCTAACTTCCGGCTCCAGCCCCTGTAGGGAAACTGCTCTTCCAAGGTCATGGCCTCCTAATCGATAAATTGACCAGGCCTAAAAAAGCATCCTCTCTGCCTCTCAACTGCGTCTAAAAACACCCACCATGCCCTTGACGTGGAAGGCTCCTTCGTCTCCGTGACAGTGAACTACTCACTCTCCAAGGCTCCGTCCCACCTCCTCTGCCCCTTCTTCTCCCTGCCCTTCTCACACATGTGTTCTCTGGGGTCCCCCCCTCCACACGGCCCCATCCTGGGCTCCCCTGCTCTCATGGCTCCAGGAAGTGTCTCCTCTTGAACTTGACCTGTCTACCAAACAGCATCTCCCTAGCAGAGACCCTGGCCCCCACTCACCCCTCCCCTACACCACACAGACTCAAATGGGTCCCCTCCCCACCTTACACTTCTGCCGACTTCTGTCCCCAGCTTCCAGCTCACCCAGATCCAAACCTCTCATCTCCCCGATTCCTCTTCTTGGCTCCCACGTTAGTGCCAAACGCTGTAAATTCCCACCCACCCCCATGATTGCTCCAAGCCTCCTTCACTCTTACTACTCAAGTCATTGTCACTTGCAAGGCTACCGCTAGAGTCTCCAAATCGTTCTCCCTCTCTGACCCCAGCCCACTCAAACCAATCT